TGAGGCCAAATATTGACTATGAAAGTGGTATATATAAGCCTAGTATTAATGGGGAGTAAAGATATGCATATAAGAATGCATTCTAATGCATGCACACTAAATAAGCTTCATTGAGTATAATAATATTCGCATAATATTTGTATATTATTATATTATAGTGCATAGAGAAATAAATTCACATGTTAGTGAATATTGAATTAACATATGAATAAGTGAAAAAGAAATGGTATAGGTTTACATGTGTGAAGCATAGCCATGCAAAAACTAAAATGACTAGGAAATAAATATAAAAGAAAAGGAATAGAGAAATATTGCAAGAAAAGTGATTAGCAGATGTGGAGGCCAAATAAGAATGGTGATTTAGTCATTTGTTATGTGATTTGAAAGAAATGGTGCAATGATTACAAGGTTTTATTTAAAATAAATAATAATATATGTGGAATTAAAGGGGAATGTAAATAAAATGCATGGAAATGCATGTGAAATGAAAGTGAAATGGAAATACAAATGGAATGCAAATGAGAGTGAAATGAAATACAAATGAAGTAATGATGGCATTGCATGGCATGACATGTGATTTAAAAATAAAACAAAGAAATTTGGAATTATGGGAGCCTTGTTCAATCCGCCCATGCATGAGAGAATGAGGTATAAAAAAGGCTATTTCAAGCTTGGTTGTGATATCCACCCATTTAGAGTGAAAAGGGAAGAGACTTGAGCTTTTGTTAAGCTTTCACCCAAGAAAGAGAAAGAATAGAGAGAGAAAAAAGAAAAAGGAACCAAGTGAGGGCTCAGTGTTGTGGAATACTAGAGTACTCTTAAGCTTTCTCCTATCCTTGTTTCGTATGTACTTGAAATTTTACCTACAATAGTCTCAACATTCAAGGAAATCGAGAAAAGTTAAGGATTGAGGAGGCCTGATTGAAAACTTGAGTGTTAGCAAGGAAGATAGACAACCGTAAGCTCCAAGGGATTTTTAAAGAAAAATTTCAAGGTTTAACCTATGTGAAGTGAGAAAAGAATTAACATCTACATAAAATCTTTGTGGTGTGATTTGTGGTTAAGAATAATGTTTGATTTTGAGGTTTTGTTTAAATGGTTAAAGGAAATCGTGCATGCAACTAAGGATTGATGAAATTGGTGGAGTAACGAAATTGGTGAAGTGAAAATCCCATCAAACCAAGGTGAGTGGGGTGCGTCTTTTTAAAAATATTGTTTCTACATGTTTATAAACATATATTTGCCTTGATGTTTGGCATGCATTTATGGTAATTTGTTTGGAATGATGTGATGAACCTTTGTGATGGTGATAAAGGTTTTGAAATGATTTTCTGTGCTATATGCATACTATTATGGTAAAAAGGTTTCAAAATGGGGAAACAAGCCTTGTTGTCTCTATTTTCACTCAAAAAAAATGCCATGCAAAGTATTGTGATTATTGTGCATTGATTGGTGCTTGAATAGGACCCTTGGAAGGTCATGTAGACATATAGATGATATTTGTTTTGTAGGCATGCCACTGAGATTATAAGACCATGCTTAAAGGAGAGATACGGTTTATGCACGCATGCACTTGAGGCTATGATGATGGTACATCACGTGTTAAGAATAATTTTATTGTACGCATGTATGATGTGGTACGAGTGCCTTACATGGGTTAGAAAGATTGATTATGATGGACTATTGATTAATTGAATTATGACCAATTATAAGGTCGATGATTATGTGGCGCAACCACTAATGTTGATTATGATGATGTGGCATTGCCACTAATGTTGATTATGTGTACGTGGTGAGGCCATCAATAGTGATGATGATTATGTGGTGCTGCCAATAGCATTAATGATGGGCACTTAGCAAGGCCACTGTTATAGATTGCAATTATGTGGTGTGCCCATTAGTGTTGCTTAAGACTACATGGCAAGGCCACTGTTATAGATTCCAATTACGTGGTGCACCCATTAATGTTGCTTAAGATTGTTGGCTCCATAAGTTTTTGATAATAATAATAAAACATTTCCACTCATTAATGTCTAACTTTACTATTTGAGTGTGTAAGATGAAAGTGTATGTCAATAATAATTAATTACTGGAAAGCAAATATCAAAACTTATTAGAATAAGGAGTTACAAATGAGCCACAAAACAGTAGCCTCTTAGTTAGATAATCAAGGGAGTTAGTAAGCTAAAATCCAAAAGTGAAGTTGGCTGGTTCAAAGACAATAAGCTCTTAATCGGCTGAGGCTTTACTTAATTGACTAAGAGAGTATAGCAGATTATGAGACAGAGAAGACTTAGTTGATTAAAAAGCATAGTTAGTCAACTAAGAGCTCATTGTTAGAGACTTCAATAACAAGACAGAGAGAATTTAATCGACTACGAAGTATGGTTAGTCAACTAAGAGAACTCTGTCTGAAAATTTGAATTTGAATGATT